GCCAGCCTAGGCAGAAAAGTTCATGAGACTCTTAGCTGCAATAAACTCCCACAAAGCCAGAAGTGGTTCAAGTGGTAGAACACAAGCTTTTAGCACAAAAGCTCAGGGACAATGGCCCACGCTCTGAGTTCAAGCCCCAGAACTGACACACACATACACACACACACAAAAAACAGAACAAAAACAAAAAATAGTTTGAATAACAGCCCCAAAATAATGATTGGTTTGCTGTAGCTTCTAAATTTCATTGAATCTATAGATTCTTGATGCTATTTTGTAGTTTCTTGCCTATCCTCTTGTGATTAGTAATGAATTAGAAGAATATGATATGACTGGAGTTCAATTTTTGGTAAGAATTATATATATGTTTAATATATATATTATATATATAGAGAGAGAGAGAGAGAAAGACTGGCAGTATCTCTTTTTAAGAGACATTTATTATTCCCTGGCTAGTAAAAATTTGATACCCTAGGGCTGGGAAGGTGGCTCGGTGGTATAGTGCTTGCCTTTCATGCATGAGGCCCTGGGTTCGATTCCTCAGCACCACATAACCAGAAAAATCCAGAAGTGGTCCTGTGGCTCAAGTGGTAGAATGCTAGCCTTGAGCCCAGAGTTTGGGCCCCATGACTTACCACCCCCCCCCAAAAAAAATTGATATCCTTTAATTCCTTCCTTCCTTCACTCTCTCTTTCTCCTCTCTCTCTTTTAAAATAATATGAACTTAGGGCCTTGCACTTGCTAGGCAGGTACTTTACTGCTGAGCCATGTCTCCAGTTCATTTTTTCACTGGGTATTTTGAGATGCTGGGCCATGTATCTGAGCTGTGATCCTTCTATTTTAGACTTGTCATCCCACCATAGCTGGGATGATAAACATGTACCACCATGTACAGCTTCTCTGGTTGAGACAGAGTCTCATGGACTTTTCTGGCTGGGCCAGCCTGGAACCATGATCTTCCCAGTCTCAGCTTCCCATAGAATAGCTTAGGACAATAGATATGAACCCTTCTCCCAGCCATCAGTTGAAAAGAGAGGTCTTGTGATTTTTATTTTAAGTATCTGACCTGGCCTCCGTGATTCTCGTAATTTTAGCCTCCCAAATAACTAGTATTACAGACGTGAGCCATCAATACCTGACATTTCTTTTTAATTAAGAGTAACATGCTTTCATTACTTACTACTGCTTATTAACTAGTTTTATATGGGAGAACAGAGTTTATTAATCTCCAATATAGACAAATAGATAGATATATACATGCATACATAGATACATAGATATAATAGGTGATCCTGTTCTACCTGTTTTCCTACATCTATATAACCCCGTTATGGCTTTGTCATGGAGATAGGATCTGATTGGCTCCTTTTTCTTTTTCTAGTCACTTAGGCTCCTGGGAGAATACAGAGAGTGGTCAAGAGTAGAAGCTGGGAGTGAAATTAGGTGCCATTTGAAATAATCCACATAAGAGATGCAGATGCGGTGTCTTCTTGGGGAGGGGTAAAGGGATGGGGCAGATGAGAAAGAATTAAATTGGGGATATATTTTGAAGATAAATGAGAAGTTCTGCTGAGAAATTTCCCTGAGTAGGGATGCGAGACAAAGGGAAGGTTCAAAATTGATTGGAAATTTTGGAACTAGGCATCTGGTAGAACTGATTGTATTTGATGGACTTGAGGAAGATTCCTAGGGGAAGAAAAGGCACAAAGTAAACAAGGAGTTCAAACATGACTTGCCCTACAAGTTTTCTTCTCAGCAACACCAAACTCCACCTGAAAATGTCAACTCCTTTCTGTTTACCTCCCCTTTCTGCTTTCCCCTCTTTATGCCTTAACAAGTTGCTGTGATAGGGTGGTTGTCTTTCCACTGTAGGCCTTGTACTTGCTAAGCAGACACTCTACCACAGGGCTACACCTCCAGATCTTTTAATGCTGGCTATTAGGGTGGGGAGGGGAGGATCATGGGGCTTGAACTCAGGGCTTGGGTGCTGTCCCTGAGCTCTTTCACTCTACTATTCTACCACTTTGAACCACGGCACCACTTTTGGTTTTCTGGTGATTAATTGAGATAGAAGTCTCACGGCCTTTCCTGCCCTGGCTGGTTTTGAACCATGACAATCAGATTTCAGCCTTCTGAGTAGCTAGGATTACAGGCATGAGCCACCAGTGCCTGGCTAAACTGGAAATTTGGGGGGGTTTTTTTGGGCGGGGGGTCAGTCGTGGGGCTTGAACTCTGGGCCTCGGCGCTGTCCCTCAGCTCTTCAGCTCAAGGCGAGCACTCTACCACTTGAGCCACAGTGCCACTTCCAGTTTTCTGAGTGGTTTATTGGAGATAAGAGTCTCACAGACTTTTTCTGCCCAGGCTGGCTTTGAACTACAATCTTTAGATCTCAGCCTCCTGATTACAGGTGTCAGCCACTGGTGCCCTCTTATACTGGCTATTTTTGAGACAAAAGTCCCATCTCCTGCTTGGGTGGATGTCTAGACCATAGTCCACCTATTTTATGTTTCCTACTGTAGCTGAGATGACAGGTGTGTGCCACCACACACAACTTCTTCCACTGAGATGGAAGATCATGAGCTTTTTGGCCAGACTGACTCAGAATCACAATCCTCCCGATCTTTAGCCTCCTGTGCCCAGCTATTAACAAGTTTTATGTTTTCCATGATAGTTAAGTCCTTCTTTTACCCCAACTAATAAGAAGGTGATCAATAAAATGTTCCTTCACACAAGTAAGGGTTACCCTTCAGGAAGCTAGCATAATGCTATTCCTAGGAGTCTGTAAAAGATTTGAAAACAATCTCCTCCTATTTCAGAGCTAAAGTTTTTTTGGAAGCTATTTAATTAAGAGATGTTTATACATGAGGATGTGTTCTATAAAAGTATACAGATATTGTATGACATGATCAGAACAATTTCTGTGGTAATTACATGAGAGTAGATTTAATTATAAATAGATTTTATATGGATGTCCAATCGTTTGTTGCACAATGCAATGTGGGACAATTTCTATTTACAGCTTACTTAGTCATAAACACACACAAAAAAAAAAACAATCCAGGCAAGGATAAAATGTACTGAAAGCAAATAAATACATGTTGGTAGATGTTTACACCATGTGTCTCTTATAAGCATATTAATTACTAAATATGCTCTTACAATAACTAACATGATGAATATGACTTGGGTAGATAAAAATAACCAATAAGTTAACTGAGCACAGTAAGAATGGTAGTTCCTTCTTAAAACTATACATCAGCTGGGTGCCAGTGGCTCACGCCTGTAATCCTAGCAACTTAGGAGGCTGAGATCTGAGGATCTTGGTTCAAAGACAGCCTGGGCAGAAAAGTCCCTGTGAGATTCTTATCTCTAATTAACCACTCAAATACCAGCAGTGGTGCTGTCACTCAAGTGGTAGACTGCATGCCTTGAGCACAAAGAGGCTCAGGGACAACGTCCAGGCTCTGAGTTCAGGCCCTACAACTGTCAAAACAAACAACCAAAAAAGACCCAGAAAAACCCCTACATATGAATAGCATAGAAAAAAAACCATTTCAGACATATAAAACATAATCATTATTGTGGCTGCTACCTTTTTTCTTAAAGATAGTCATTCAGATTCCCCCTCTACTTAGTTCTATATTTAGGGAGAAAAATTGTTTCAATCATAAAATGGACCAGATCCTTGACAGCTGTTGGGGTTAACTAAAATCAGTTTGTGTAGGTCAGCATTTGTACCAGAGAATTTATCTTGTCTTGTTCCTATCATGTGATAGTCACGTGGCTTATTTCAAGGCTTCAAAATAAGAAGCCCCAGGCAAGGTGGTGGTAGTTCATGCCTGTAATCCTAGCTACTCAGGAGGCTGAGATCTGAGGATCATGGTTCAAAGCCAACCGAAGCAGGAAAGTCCATGAGACTCTCATCTACAAATAACCACCAAAAAAGAAGAAGGGAGGGTGGGGGCTGAATGTGGAGCTACAGCTCAAGTGGTAGAGCACTAGTCTTGAGCAAAGAGCTCAGGGACAATGACAAAGCCCTAAGTTTAAGCCCCAAGCCAGAAAGAAAGGAAGGGAGAGAGAGAGAAAGAAAGAAGGAAAGAAAGGAAGGAAGGAAGGAAGAAAGGGAGAGGGAGGGAGGGAAGGAAGGAAAGAAAAGAGGGAGGGAGGGTAGGGAGAGAAAGAAAGGAAGGAAGGAAGGGAAGAAGGAAGGGAGAAAGAGAAAGAAAGGAAGGGAGAAAGAAAGGAAGGAAGAGGGAGGAAGGGAAAGGAAGGGGAGAGGGAGGGAAGAAGGCAAGAAGGAAGGAAGAAAGGAAGGAAGGAAGCAAGGAAGGAAGAAGGAAGGAAACCCACAGTTTCTTCCTTTCTTGATCTTCCCTTCCATTGAAATAAATGGCTCTCTAACAGTAGCATAGGGGAGACAGCTGAGGATCTGGAGTCTTGATGACAGAGCTGGAATCCGGGCACTGCCACTCACTGTGTGATGTGGGCCCAGTCAAGTGATTCCCTGTGTCTTGCTTTCTTCATGAGAGGAGAGTAGTTGGTTGTAAAGTGTCCTCAGGGTTGCCGTGAGGATCGAGTGGACCCGGGTGGATGCACAGAGCACTGTTTGCATCTTTGTCATGACTGATGAGCTGAGGTCTACTTGGTAGTTGTTATTACCTTGCAGTCTCCATGAAGAATGGGAGTCATTCTGTTCAACTTGTGAACTTTCAGTAATTGAGAAATCTTGAATAATTGGCACTTAAACCATGAAACAGAGACAAGGGCACAGCTCTCTTCACGCCCATCCCCTATAGTAAAAGTAACCAGAACCCTGACTTCACTAATTAATGCCCATTGCTAATGGCTATGACAGCGATTGATAAGCATAAACAACAGCGATTGTTGTCAAAGCATTTTGTTTTTAAGTTATTATCCAAAGCTTAAGATCGATCTATTTGCGCCTTTTAATACAGCTCACCTATTTACTCCTTTAACGTGGAGCTACATTTCATTTCTAGGCTGAAAAAGCTGCTTGAACAAGAAAAGGCTTACCAGGCTCGCAAGGAGAAAGAAAACGCCAAGCGACTCAATAAACTCAGAGACGAGCTGGTGAAACTCAAGTCGTTTGCGCTCATGCTGGTGGATGAGAGGCAGATGCACATCGAACAGCTGGGCCTGCAAAGCCAGAAGGTCCAAGACCTCACTCAGAAACTGCGAGAAGAGGAAGAAAAGCTCAAAGCCATCACCTCCAAATCCAAAGAAGACAGACAGAAACTACTCAAGTTGGAGGTGGACTTCGAACACAAGGCTTCCAGGTTCTCTCAGGAGCATGAAGAGATGAATGCTAAGTTGGCCAACCAGGAGTCTCACAACAGACAGCTCCGACTCAAGCTGGTGGGCCTGTCTCAAAGAATCGAGGAGCTTGAAGAGACCAATAACAACCTCCAAAAGGCCGAGGAAGAACTGCAGGAGCTCAGGGATAAGATCGCCAAAGGAGAATGCGGCAACTCCAGCCTCATGGCAGAGGTGGAAAACCTCCGGAAGCGGGTGCTGGAAATGGAGGGTAAAGATGAGGAAATCACAAAAACCGAGTCCCAGTGCAGAGAGCTGCGGAAGAAACTCCAGGAGGAGGAGCACCACAGCAAGGAGCTCAAGCTGGAAGTGGAGAAACTGCAGAAGAGGATGTCCGAACTGGAGAAGCTGGAAGAAGCGTTCAGCAGGAGTAAATCTGAGTGCTCCCAGCTCCACCTGAACCTGGAGAAAGAGAAGAACTTAAGCAAAGACCTGCTGAACGAGCTGGAGGTGGTGAAGCATCGCGTGAAGGAGCTGGAGGATTCCGAGGGTCGCCTGGAGAAGGCCGAGCTGGGCCTCCGCGAGGATCTGACCAAGCTGAAGTCCTTCACCGTGATGCTGGTGGACGAGAGGAAAAACATGATGGAGAAGATAAAGCAAGAAGAGAGGAAAGTGGATGGCCTCAACAAGAATTTCAAGGTGGAGCAGGGCAAGGTGATGGACGTCACGGAAAAACTCATCGAAGAGAGCAAGAAGCTGTTGAAACTGAAGTCGGAGATGGAAGCCAAGGTGTCCGGCCTGAGGAAGGAGAGGGACGAGCTGGTGGGCAAACTGAAGAGCGAACAGGAGAGATCCTCGGCCCTGAGCGGCAGCGTGGAGCTGCTGCAGAAGAGGCTGGACGGCCTAGAGGAAGTGGAGAGAGAGCTGGCCCGGGGGAGGGCGCGCAAAGGGCCTGAGCTCACCGGCCCCGAAGATAACAAGATCCGAGAACTCACGCTGGAGATCGAGAGGCTGAGGCAGCGGCTGCAGCAGCTGGAGGTGGTGGAGGGCGATCTGATGAAGACGGAGGACGAGTATGATCAACTGGAACGGAAATTCCGCACGGAGCAGGACAAGGCCAACTTCCTGTCGCAGCAGCTGGAGGAGATCAAGCACCAGATGGCGAAGAACAAAGCCGTGGAGAAAGGCGAGGCGGCCAGCCAGGAGGCGGAGCTGCGCCACCGCTTCCGGCTGGAGGAGGCCAAGAGTCGAGACCTGAAAGCCGAGGTCCAGGCGCTGAAAGAGAAGATCCACGAGCTGATGAACAAGGAGGACCAGCTCGCCCAGCTGCAGGTGGATCACTCGGTCCTGCAGCAGAGGTTCCTGGAGGAGGAGACCAAGAACAAGAGCCTGGGCCAGGAGGTGCTGGGCCTCACCAAAGAGCTGGAGCTCTCCAGGCGCTACGGCCGCGCGCTGCGGCCCAGCGGGGCCGGGCGCAGGATGGTGGACGTGCCGGTGGCGTCCACGGGCGTCCAGACGGACGCGGTGGGCAGCGAAGCCGTCGAGGACGAGACGCCGGCCGTCTTCATCCGGAAGTCCTTCCAAGAGGAAAACCACATCATGAGTAACCTGAGACAGGTGGGGCTGAAGCGGAACCCCGAGCGGGCCGCCTCCGTCCTCGACCGCTACCCACCCGCCGCCAACGAGCTGGCCCTGCGCAAGTCGTGGATCCCGTGGATGCGCCGGCGGGAGGGCGGCGCCCCGACGGCGGGGACGGCGGCGGCGGGGGCGCCCCGGGCCGGGCACTCCGGGGAGCTGGTCGTGTCCCCCAAGCAGGGCCAGCCGCTGCACATCCGCGTGACCCCCGATCACGAGCACAGCACGGCCACCCTGGAGATCACCAGCCCCACGTCGGAAGAGTTCTTCTCCAGCACCACCGTCATCCCCACCCTGGGCACCCAGAAGCCCAGGATCACCATCATCCCGTCCTCCAACATCCTGGCTCAGAGATCCAAGGGCGCCGAGGCCGCGCTGGGCCCCGAGCGGGCCGTGTCGCCCGTCACCATCACCACCTTCTCCCGGGAGAAGCCCCCCGACGGCGCCCGAGGCTCCGCGGCCGAGCGCGCCGCGTCCCCGGTGCAGATCGTCACGGTGTCCACGTGCGCGGCGGCGCCCGGGCCGGGCGATGGAGCGCCGGCGGCGGCGGCGGCGGCGGCGGCGCCCGGGCCCGCGGACGCCGCCCTGGGGAGGACCGTGCTCAGGGTCACGCCCGAGAAGCCCGCGGCGCCCGCGCCCGCGCGCAAGTTCAACGCCAACGCCAACATCATCACCACCGAGGACAACAAGATCCACATCCACCTGGGCTCGCAGTTCAAGCGCAGCCCTGGCGCCGCCGACGCCGCCTCCGCCAGCCCCGTCATCACCGTCCGCCCCGTCGGCGGTGGCGTGGCCGCCGAGAAGGAGGCGCCCACGGGCACCGTCCTCCGCGCTCCCCGGGGCCACGGGGCCCGGGCCGGAGCCGCCAAACTCACCAGCACCATCACCATCACTCCCGTCACCGCCTCCTCCACCCGGGGCACGGTGTCTGCGGTGAGTGAGTGATCCGGGGAGGGAGGGGGAGGGCAGGGGAGAAGGGAAGGGAGGGAGGGAGGGGGAGGAGAAGGGGGGGAGGTAGCAAGGAGGGAGGGCAGAGTGGCCTGGGAAACCAAGCACTCACCTAACACAAAGCCACAGCCCCACCCCCACCCCATCCCCACACCCCCTGTCCCAGTAATGAAAGGATGCAAATTGAGTCCTGATCTAATGTGGGGGTAAATTGGGCCCATATGCCAGCGGAGGGGGGGGAGGGGTGGACTCCATTGATTCAAATACTCACCAAGACAGCATCTTTGAAATGGGAAGCACAGAGCAATACTGAAGTTTCAAAGGGTGGTCAATTCTTAGGAAGAATTGACTGGTGGCTCACACCTGTCATCCTAGCTACTCCATAGTCTGAGATCTCAAGATGGCCAGCCCAGGCAGGAAAATGTGAGACTCTTAACTACTCAGAAAAGGCCAGAAGTGTTGGTGTGGCCCAAGTGGTAGAGTGCTAACCTTGAGCCAAACAGCGACAGCACCCAGGTCCTAAGTTCAAGCTCAAGGACCAGCAAAAGAATAAAGTAAGATAACACCATTCCTAGCCAAGTGCCCAGGGGCTACCTCACTACTCAGCAGGCTGAGATCTGAAGGTTCCCTGCTGAAGCCAGGCCACACAGGAATGATTCTTGTTCCAATTAACCAGTAAAGATAATTCTTATCTCCAGTCCAGTAAAACAGCAGTGGAGGTGTGGCTCAATTGGTAAGGTACCAGCAGAAAAGATCAGGGACAGAATTCAAGCCCTCCGACTTGCATACCCACACACAAAAAAATTCTGTTCCTAGGCTATATTTCTGTCACTTAAAATATTCAATATGTGGTTATGCATAGCCATACTCATACTCTATTCCAAAATAAGATCAAAAGAGTTCATACTAAAAACACTTAGAGCCAGGCACTGGTGGCTCATGCCTGTAATCCAGGCTACTTAGGAGGCTAAGATCTGAAGATCCCAGTTTGAAGCCAGCCCAGGCAGCAAAGTCTGTGACACCCTCATCTCCAATTAACTACAAAAAATAAAAAAAAAAAAGCCAGAAGTATAAGTGTGGCTCAAGTGGTAGAGCACTAGCCTTGAACAGAAAGGTACAGAGACAGTACCCAGGTCCCAAGTTCAAGCCACAGCAATGGTCAACAACAACAACAACAAAATTAGAAGCAAAAAGGAAATGCATTTATATGTTGAAAAAGTCTATTTCACTTAATTGTATCTTGCAGAACACATGCTGCATAAATATTTGATAACTAGCTGGAATAATTTTTAAAATGTGTGCTTTATAAGTGCAGTGTTGTGGTACATGCCTAACTATAGTCCCAGCACTTGGAGGCAGAGGACCAAAAGCTTGAAGCCAACTTGAACTATATATAATAAGCAAGACCCTGTCTCAAAAACTTGAAACTCAATTGAACCTAACCAATCAACCAAACTAGCAAAAGCAGAACCAAAAATAAGACATAAGTGTCCAAAGTAGAAAAATTAGAGCTTAAAAACTAAATTATGGGGCTGGGAAGGTGGCTCAGTGGTAGAGCGCTTGCCTTGCATGCCTGAGGCCCTGGGTTCGATTCCTCAGCCCCACATAAGCAAAAAGAAAAAAGCCGGAAGTGGTGCTGTGGCTCAAGTGGTAGAGCGCTAGCCTTGAGCTGAAGAGCTGAGGGACAGCGCCCAGGCCCAGATTCAGGCCCCACAACCGGACCCCCCCCAAAAAAAAAAAAAAAACTAAATTATATGTTCTAAAATACTTCTTCTTTCTACAATCCTGTCTTCAATTATTGGGGCCAAAATTCTTATAGGAGACCATGTAGTAGTTAGTTATTAATTTAAATGAATAGAGTAGAAATTAGGATTCTTATGCATGGAACAAATTCTGTAGCATTCGTTGAAATGTTTTTCAAAAAATACAGGAAGCTCAAAATTTAAATATAGAAACTGTGGCTTATTTCCCATTTCCTTAATATACTTTACATTAATTCTCTGGACGCAAGACAGACTTTACAGTATGAATTACTAATTGCTTTGCCAGTAAAGCTTTTAGTTATTGGCCATAGAGCAGTCACATAGTGCTCAGCTTTGTTCCACCCTCTCCTGCAATTGCAAAAGGATGGGTCGTGTATTATATCTTCCTGATGCCTCTTATACCAAGGTGACGGAAGTGTGAATCACTATCAACTAGAGCTCTGTTTTCTGCTATTCCATCCTATCCCCATCTTGAAGTTCAGATTAAAATAGGCTTACTCCCTGTAGCAACTTTTTTGTTCAAGTCCTGGGACTTGAACTCAGGGCCTAGGAACTGTCCCTGAGCCGTTGTGCTCAAGGCAAATGCTCTACCAATTGAGCCACAGCGCCACTACCAGCTTTTGTTTTTAGTGGTTAATTGGAGATCAGAGTCTCAAAGACTTTCCTGCCTTGGCTAGCTTCCAACTGCGATCCTCAAATCTCAGCCTCCTATGTAGCTTAGATTGCAGGTGTGAGCCACTGTAAGTGAGCCACTTATAACAACATTTGTGACTACTGATTAGACCCCAAACACAAATAAGATTTCAAAACCTAACTGATAGTGTGTGTCTTTTAGGCAAATCAGATCCCATACAATTTAGGACCACAGTAGGCTAAGGCCATCCTATCTCAGACTGTGGGCAGTGAAGCCAGCCCGTCTGTGCATTCTGCATTTATTGAGCATTAGCTACACCTCAGCCATGGTAGTCTGGTGTTGGGGAGCACCAAGGACTTCTGGAGTTCTCACCTGAGCTGGAACCGACTTAGGAGTTCTGCGGTAGGTTTGTACAAAGGACCTACTAGAGAAGCCTTCACAAATAAGAAAAGATTCTTCAGAAGGAATAGAGAAGGGGAACATAGAACAGCATGTGTGAAGGTGTGACAGTGGGAAGGGTAGGGCGTGGGGAAAGGGGAGCACATGGTCTACGCTGTAGCAGCTGTGGACGGGCTTGTGAATGTGGAGGCAGGAGATGCTAATGTTGCAGCAGACTAGCCTGGGTTATGTAGTGAGAATGTGCCTCAGAACATTCACAGAGAGAGCTGAGTACAGTGGCTCATGCCTCTAATACCAGCCACCTGGGAGGTGAAGAGCAAGAGGATTATGGCTCAAAGCTAGCCCAGCTCCTCCCCACCCCACCCCCCAAAAAAAGCTAGTGAGACCATTGTGTCAGCAGATGATAAACCAAGAGTGCTGGTTTTGCCTGTAATCCCATCCACCAAGGAAGCATAGGTGGGAAGATCACAGTTTCAAACTCTAATAAGCAAAAAAAAAAAAAAAAAAATGAGACCCATGGCTAGGAAGGTGGCTTAGTGGTAGAGTGCTAGCCTAGCATGCATGAAGTCCTGGGTTCCATTCCTCAGTACCACATACACAGAGAAAGCTGGACGTGGCACTGTGGCTCAAGGGATAGAGTGCTCGCTTGCCTTGAGCAAAAGAAGCTCAGGGGGCTGGGAAGATGGCTCAGTGGTAGAGCGCTTGCCTTGCATGCCTGAGGCCCTGGGTTCTATTCCTCAGCACCACATAAGCAAAAAGAAAAAAGCTGGCAGTGGCACTGTGGCTCAAGTGGTAGAGCACTAGCCTTGAGCTGAAGAGCTGAGGGACAGCGTCCAGGCCCAGAGTTCAGGCCCCACGACCAGACCCAAAAAAAAAAGAAGAAGCTCAGGGACAGTGCCTAAGCCCTGAGTTCAAGCCCCAGGACTGGCCAAATAAATAAATGAGACCTTATCTAAAAAGTAACCTAAGAGAAAAAGAGTAGGGGCAAATTTAGTATGAGTGACTAGAATTTAGTAGGAGTCTCTGGGCCTTCTAGTTTGGTTGTCTGGGTGTATATTTAAGAAACAGAAGGGATATGCATGACTGGAAAAAAAGATAAACTATTTTTGATGCAAGATAGCGCTCTCTCTCTCTCTCTCTCTCTCTCTCTCTCTCTCTCTCTCTCTCTCTCTGTATAATGATGCTTGTTGATGCTTGAACTCATGGCCTCAAGTGCTTGCTGGGCTTTTTCACTCAATGGCTGGTACTCTACTGGTTGAGCTACCTCTCTGTTTTGTGAGCTAATTGGAGATAAGAATCTTGCAGCTTTGTCATCCCTCCCTGGCTCTGAACCCTGACCCTCAGATCTCAGCCTTCTGAGCAGCTAGGATTATAGGTGTGAGCCACCAGCACCTGGTGGAGGCATGCTAGTTTGGAGCTGTCTGGGGGATGCCAGAGGGGCAGAGGAGGGGGTGCTGTAAATGTGAGCAGTGAAGTAGGGTTTGGAGGTATGGAGGAGTAACTAAGGAGATTTTGGGGGGTATGTCTAAAAGATTTAGAAAGAACTGAGAATTGAGAACAGGACATGGCATCCCACCCATCTACAGCCAGGAGCCAGCGAGAGATGGAAAGGAAAACAAGCCAGGGGCTGGTGGCTCATGCTTGTAATCCAAGCAACTCAGGAGGCTGAGATCTGAGGCTCATGGTTTGAAGCCAGCCTGGGCAGAAAAGTCCATGAGGCTTTTATCTATAATTAACCACTAGAAAACCAGAAGTGGTGCTGTTACTCAAATTGGTAGAGCACTAGCCTTGAGCAAAAGAGCTCAGGGACAACACCTCAGGGTGTTCAAGCACCCCATGACAGAGAGAGAGGGACAAAGAGAGAGAGAGAGAGACAGAGAGAGTGCGAGAAAGGGAGTCATCAGAGACTGGAAGTGAATTGTGAAAATCACCTAAGAAACCTTTGCAAAAAGTTTTAGCCACACTTTGGCCAGCCATGATCATTAAAAAAAAATATGACGGAAAGCTTGTCACTGATGGTTCACACCTGTAATCCTAGCTATTCAAGAGGCTGACATCTGGAAGACTGATGTTCAAAGCCAGCCCAGGAAGAAAAGCACACAAGATTCCATCTTCAAAATAACTAGCCAAAAGTGGGGCTGGAGGCATAACTCAAATGGGCAAACACCAGTCATGAATAAGAAAGCTCAGAGATCATAAGGCCCTGAGTTTGAAGCCCAGCAAAAACCAAACCAGAAAAAAAAAATTGAATAGAAGCTGAGGTCACTGGGTTTGAGTTTGCAAGAAGCAAAGAAAGCCCTCATGGTAATGAACTATGGAATCCTAAAAACAGAGTTTGACTTATTAGTTCCTACCTGCTGATGACTTTTTTTTCCTGTGAAATAGATGCTAAGAACACGGTAAGGGCTGGGGATGGTTTGAGAAGAGAAGGAAAGTCTACATAGATCTTTTGAAAGAGGGGAAGGCAGCAATTGGAAGAAGATTCACTTTCAACTCCCAAGTCAGGTACCAGTGGGCTCCCACCTGTAATCCTGGCTACACAGGTAGCTAAGATCTGAAGATCCAGGTTGGAAGCCAGCTGAGTCAGGAAAATGCATGAGACTTTTATCTCCACTAAACTACCAAAAAATCCAGAATTGGGGCTGTGACTTAAGTGGTAGAACATTAGTCTTGAGGGAAAATAAGCTCAGGGATGGTACCTAGGCCCCGAGTATCAAGCCCTAAAAGTGGCAGGGAGAAAAAAGCCCAGCTCCCAAGTTTTCTACAATTGCTTATCAGGGAAGGATGATGTGTGGGTGTGCCTGTGTGTCAGGCATCTGGCTAATGTTCAGACTGATGAACACCAGTCATGGTTTCCAGGGCAAACTCACTCACCCCGGTACCCCTTCTCCTGTCTCTGTGTGTTCTCTCTTGCAGTCAGTACAAGATGGGTCTTGCCAGCGGCCTACACCCACCCGCATTCCCGTGTCAAAAGGTATGAAATCAGGAAAGCCGGTAGTGGCAGCCCCAGGAGCAGGAAATCTGACCAAATTCGAGCCTCGGGCTGAGACTCAGTCTATGAAAATAGAGCTGAAGAAATCGGCAGCCAGCAGCGCTACCTCTCTCGGAGGGGGAAGGGCAGAGGGCAGTAGCTGAGGGGGTATGTCACGCAGATGCTTCCGCTGCCTGCATGCCTGTGAAAACCAGCCTTCTGTCTGTGCCCACACTTGATGTGTGCTAACTGAAGTCCGAAGCCTCTTGTTTGTAAAATAACCAACTAATAGCCATGTGCTTTTCTTCTTTGTGCATTTGTTTTGATGCGGGGGAGAGGAACAGAATGGCTGTTTGTGGTGTGGTTTATTAGGGTTGCCTGGCTAGGAGCCTGGCCTGGCTTTTAATCTCAGTTTTGTTTCAAATGAAACCGGTGAATAGACCCATTTCTCAGCCCTTAGGAAAGCCTCTGCTCTTCATCAGTGAGACAGTCGGCAGTCCTCACAGGCTTGAAAGGGCTGGGTCCCTTCATTTCTAACTGTAAACCAAATTAGTCCTTGATAAATTTATTTCTCAAAAACTCTGTCCAGGCACCAGTGGCACACAACTCTAATCCTTGCTACTCAGAAGGCTGACATCTGAGGATGGAGGTTCGAAGCCAGCCTGGGTAGGAAAATCTGTGACTCTTTATTTGCAGGTAACCACCAGAAAATCCAACAGGAGATGTGGCTCAAGGGGTAGAACACAAGCTTTGAGCACAAAAAGCTAAGAGACAGTATCCAGGCCAAGTTCAAGCCTTAGTACTGGCATAAAACAAAACAAAATAAAGAAAAAGCTCTGTTAGGAAACAGGACACCATTTAAAAATTGTCATTTGCTGCCATCAAATCTTTTGAATTTGATACAAATACTAGGGGACGGGGGAATCTCAAAGCTTTCAAAGGGCTGATAACTCTAAAATGTTGCAAAAACTAAAGCCCTCATATGATTTATGGAAACAATTTTGGATGTGAAATAAAGCAGTGATGAACTATGGAATTCTAAAAACAGAGTTTGAGTTATTTGTGTGTGTGTGCATTGTAGAAGTTTTGGCCACCTCCAAAACCATCCCAGAATTTCATTTTGTAATAAGTTTTAGAAACATTAATGTCAGACTTTTGTTCTATTCAAGTGTGCAACTGATAGACATTGTAAAGCAATTTGAACAGAGCTGCCGAATGGCCCTTCATAGCTAACAGAAATAATGATGGCTAGAAAACACCAGAAGGTAAATTGGGATACATGAATACCAAGAAAAAAAGATGACATCATCCAGAGCTTAATAGAATTCAAATGTTTTTCTCATTAAGTGTGAAGTGTTTTGCAAATGAAGAATACTTGTGATTTGAGGTGTGTGTGTGTGTGTGTGTGTGTGTGTGTGGTATGAATACACTATTATTCCTACCAGCTTTACTTTTGTTGGAATCATTTTCTTTCATTTGAAGCATGTTTGAATAAGCATGAAGCAGAATGTAAGTGTGAGATTAACTTTGTGGAAGAGCTCAAGGCTGGCACGCCCGTGGATCATCCCTGGGTCAAAAGTTTTGAGTCAAACATAATATAAAACATAATAACCACAAAGTTCTCAGTTGTTATTTTCTCATTTCAGAATTGTTAGCACCCCAAAACTAGATAGCACCTGCTCTTGATGTTTCCACAAAGGCAGATTAAATGAAACAAAACACAATGACGTATGATTAGGTTTTAGCCCACAAACCAACATAGTTTGTGATTAATAGGCTCCTGCTGCATCTTGTTCCCACACCATATTCCCTATGCCGTCTAGACTTTGGACTTGAATTATATGCATGGTTAGAAGATGACAGGGTGAAAAATCAAGGGGGAAACAGACAAAAAGGAAGAAATGAATGAATAAAGGAAAAGATGGTTTGAAAAATGTGATTTTGATGAGTTTAACCAGGAGAGCTTGTTATTTGAAGTAAGCGAGGCTAGAGGTGTGACTCAAGTAGTAGAGTACCAGTCTAGAAAGTACAAGGCCTTGAGTTCAAATCCTAGAACTGCCTAAAAGAATGAAACACGAGGTGGTGCTGATGATGGCTACTGCCCTGTAATTCTTACTCAGAAGGCTGCACTCCGAGGATCAATGTTTGAAGCCAATCTTGGCAGACAAATTTGAAAATCTCTTCTGTCCAACTAACCAGCAAAAAGCAGAACTGGAGGTGTCACTCAAGGGGTAGAGCTCCAAATTTGAATGGACCAAAACACAAACACTGCATTCCTTTAGACTCTACCTGCCATTCTCCCATGACTTTTGTCCTCATCTAATGTTACTTGCTGGTACCCTGTTAGTGTTTTACCTGCCACACTGTGCTTATACCATTTCTTGCTAGAAGTCCCTGTTGTGCCCTGAATGTTTAGCAGTGACTGTAGAAGGTGGTTACACATCTAACTCCTGACCTAGAGTCACAACACTCAGCCACCTTGCAGAAATTCTCAAGGATATCCACCATAGAAATGGCTCTGTGGAATTTTAGAACCAACTTTACAAGTATCGGATGGCTTTCCTTTAAAACTTGAAGTCCAGTGGGGATGGGAGCGGAAGGATTAAATGCACCTTTTTGATATCAATAACCTCTTATAGGTGCCGTGGGAAGGGATTTTGTGAGAATGAGTGGGATCAAAGAGTAGACGCCTTTTCCTATGCCGAAATATACTGTATAATGAAATGCTAGGAGGCACACCAGGGGCATTGAATCCAGCTGCTCAGACCCTACCCTGAGATGCAAGGTGGGGCTCCTGGGTGGGGGCTGTGTGCCTGCTCCATGGCCTTCCATGCCAAGGTGTCTTCCAGGGACATGCAGGTGCCATGCAGGAACAGGCAGGACAAAGCTACCCCGGAGGCCCTGGGCCTCCCACCTGCTACTACGTTCAATGTGCTAACTGTGGTGGCGGCTACAGTTGTCTACGTGACCCCAGGAAGGTCCCGCTGGGGCCCGTCCTACATCCTTACAGTAACCCTCTGCTCCAATATGGTCATTCCATTCCTAGGACCATTACTATCATATTAGCAGGAAGAACTGGTCCATGGGTGGCAACTAGTGTTTTCTAGAAATATCAGTGACCTTTGACTTGAATGCTTGTCTTTCAGGAGGCTACGAAGAAATAACTGATGTCTAGTGTGAGGAGAAAATGAGTTGTGTGAGATGAAAACATTTCCAATAGGCCTGGGGCTGTGGCTCAGGGGGTAGAGTTCAAACCCCCATACTACCATTTAGAGAGGAAAAAAAAGTCCAAGAATGTAAGATGTTTAAAAAAAAAAAAAAAAAAAAAACAAGAGACTTGAATTCGAATTTCTCATTGCCTCATAGATTCAGAATAGTGGGGAAAGAGGAGACTTTCCTGACTGGGGAAAGCATAGAAGGGCTGGACATGTAGCACGGTAGAAAAGGGCTTGTCTGGCAAGCACAAGGTCCTGGGTTTGATCACCCCAATACAGAGAGAGGCAGGAAGGGGGAGGGGCAGAAGGGAAGGGGGACGTGGGGAAGGGGGATATAGGGAAGGGGGAAGGGCTTCGGGAAGGAGGAGGGGAGGGGCAGGAAAGAAGCGTGGAGGAGGAGCAGAGAGGAGGAAAGGGAGGGGAGGAGGGGAAAAGGGGAGGAGGGGCAGCTCTGGACTATGGGAAAAAGGAAAAATAAAAGGAAAGAAGATCACATCTGTGTGCCAGGCTACAGCTGGAGGGCAAGAGAGAATGAGCTCATGAGATGGCAGGATTTCCCATGAGCAGGAATGAATGATACCAAATGTCCCTTCAAAAGTGTTTAAGTCCAGGGTTTCCCTTCTACCTGCCCCACCGGTGGTTTTGTCTCTGCTCTCTGTGGTTTCTCCTTCTCTCTCTCATCTGCCATTCTATGCGGGATGTAAACATGGTTCTTCCCAGGCTAGCATGCTCCAGCCTTCCATGTACCGGCCTTCACCTTCTGTGCCCAGCTCAGCCGTTCACAGATCCATCACACTCCTCTCTACACACACACACACACACACACACACACACACACACACACACACACACACACACACACACACGCTTCCCCTTCATTCCTGGTTTCCTATTCTTGTTTTTCTTTAAGGAATCCACACACACAGTGTATAGGTGGTGAAAGATGAGCACAAACATTCTTCACCTTTTCTGCCTGGCCCCCTAAGAATTTTCCCTAGAGAAACTGAACTCTTGGCTGATTCTTCAGACACTATCTTCATAGCTCTAAATAATGTGCTTGAATTCCTTTTACTTCTAGACTTCCAAACATCTTTGATTTTACATTTATGACCTGCCTCCCCTCTTTTTTTGATGCTGGTATTAGGGCTTGAACTCAGGGCCTCACATTCTTGCTTGGCTTTCTTGCTCATGACTAGTGCTACACCACTTGAACCACACCTCCAGTCTGGCATTTTGCTGGTTAATTGGAGATAAAAGTCTCTTGGATTTTTCTGCCTGGGCTGCCTTCGAACCTCAATCCTCAGATCTCACTCTACTAAGTACCTAGGATCACAGGCATGAGCTTCTGGTACCCAGCCACTGAGATTGTTTTAGTGGTTGAAGATTTAGAACTCTCACTTGGCCCTTCTTTTTTCCATGACCCATCTTTTCACCATAATTATGCCACCGGTTTTTTTTGGGGGGGTATATTAACAGCCAACAAGCATTTACATATGATTATTATTATTATTGATAAAATATGTAGAAACAGATTTTGTTCTCTGCTGAGCCTCATCCTTTGACCACTTTTCACTCTTTCAAAAAATAACACTTGGCCAGGTGCCAGTGGCTCATGCCTGTAATCAATCCTAGCTACTCAGGAGGTTGAGATCTGAGGATCATGGTTCAAAGCCAGCCCAGGCAGGAAAGTCCATGAGACTCTTATCTCCAGTTAACCACCAGAAAACCCAAAGTGGCACTGTGGCTCAACATGGTATATATAGCATTAGCCTTGAGCAAAGAAGCTCAAGGACAGTGGCCAGGCCCTGAGTTCAAGCCCCATGATCCCCACCAATAACAACAAGATAATACTTGCTTCAGTTTTTCATATGCTTGGTTTTCTATGGATCAATCATTTTTTTCCCCAATGCTTCATTCAACCTGCCAAACTCCTGGCTCAAATTTTCTCAGCTATTTAAAAACCTTAGTTCCCTATTTTTGCCCTGAGGGCCTTCCCTTTTACAGGGAAGGCCCTGCATTTTCCTTTGTCTGGAATGATTGTCCTCTAGGCCAGCTGTCCACCTGCTATGCTTTCCCCTGATTCCTTTTCCTCAATTTCTTTCATCTATGCATGTGTCTGGGTCCTGGGTTTTGATGGCACCTTCCAGTAAGTTCTTTTTTATTTTATTTTTTAACATTTTTTTATTGGTTGTG